AAATCCTAGGACATCCCTGTGGCCTGAGCCTTTTGATTGGTAACCTAAGGAGTTCAGAATTAGAACAACCCATTTCAACAGATAATGTACACAAAATGAAGCTTATATGAATGCAATTATTAAGTAAACTTTCATACATACACAAAATTATCTCACAGGTGTTGCTAGCAGTAATATTTTACTAATTGCAACACAAATACAAAACACATATATAAACTGGAGTAGATGATGACAAGCAAAGCCAAATTCTGATTGTGAAAAGAACAAGAGTGGAACAGCCGCAATATATTAATACAAATTGGAAATGTTTCTGTCCCATTAGTAGAGAAAAATGCACCTCTAACTTTCACCCCATTTTTGTTTGAGATTCAGATCATTCATTTGTTTGAGATTCAGATCAGTAGTTAAATCCAGTACCAAAGAAAAAATATTATTGTACTTTTGTTATAACCAAACCATAGATCACTGTGAAGAAACATTTGAACAGCCCAGTATTACCATTCTATTAAAAGGCAATCTGCACTAAAAAAAAAAAAAAAAGACCACCGCCAGGGTTTTTAAATGTCTACATATAAGAATTTTCAAGGCTTTCTGATAATCATAAGCAACAATTCAAAAGAGCTTGTTCTTAAAAGGTGTGTCTTATTCCCACTTTCCTGGGCAACAACCACTGGATAATTTACTTCTGAAAAAGCATGAACAAGATAGCGTTGTTAACACGACTATTCCTCAGGAATTTGCCACTGACAGCAGCATTTTACAGAGTTCCTGGCAAACGTTTATTAAAAAGAAATTAAAAACTTTGAAACAGTTTGAGTTCCTGCTATAATCGTTTTTGGAATAACTGTGTTGCCACTTCCGGATTAATTTTTTACTTCCGAGTAGAACTTATAACCACAATTCACTCTGTTCCCCTCCAACCTTGGTCTTACCGTAAAATTATATAGAGGAAGTTGCCCTCCAGATCGCGTCCGTCCCCGATTTTCTTCCGGTTACCAGGAAGGGACGGTGGGAATTCAAGGATATTCACTTTTTTCACTTTTCAGCACGAATCGTGCAGGTGGGGTGTGTTTTTCGTTCCCATTTATATTTCTGTCCTGAAGACAAATGTCTGGGCTGGTCAATTTCGAAGATGAAGAGGAAGTGAAAGTTTATTTGGAAAATCTGGGAACAGAATATAGTTTCCAGTGCTACAAGGAGCACGATCCTGACGGTAAGGTCGGAGCAGCGCTGGAAATTGATGATCGCGAAGACTGCAGTGTAATTTATATCTCAACAGGATTATACTGTTAAATCTGCGGATATTATCTAAATGCTCTTAAGATCGATTCACTTAGAGTGTACGATTACAGGCTGAGTTTAATAGATGGAAGGTTTCTTCTTTTTTTCTATGTCTTTACCTATATTCCCTGGGGGTGAAGTAGAGAGATATGATGCTATCTAATATAACTATTGTGAAGTATGAATTCCTGTTACTTTGTTACATGCGTGACTTAGGGATGTACAACTGAAAAAATGCTTCTAGAAGGAAGGCAGATCCTAATCATGCTAATTCATATGATTTATGTATTTTATAGCATTAATTCCTGTACCTATCTTCAGGCATAACTATATTTCCTTATTATCTTTAGTATGGAGTTAGTAGCAGAATAAACCACAAGAGCATATTTACACAAAAAGAAATTCAAATTAGTCATGGTATCTCCTTTTTAATAAATAGATCTATAGATACTTGGTTTAGACTAAACCATGATTTGAAACTAATTTAACATTTTAGCTTCTTTCAAAACTGCTGAGAAATTAAACCATGGAATAGGGAAGTCTAATATAATGGCAGTTTTGGTCATGTATTGACAAGAGGCATTCCATATTTACCAAATCTGAGGTTATTAAGCAAAACGCCAATTAGCCAAAAATACAGTTATATGCTAAATCAATAGCATATTTATTTATTCATCAAATTTCTATACTGGCAATTTCACCTAAGTGACTTAGCATTACATAATTAATCAGTTTAATCTCCAATCCAGAACTCAATTACAATATATTATACTTTGGGCTATTTTAACAGGATAAATCCACTACTATCCTAACTGAATATAATATAGTATCAAAAAAGCAAAAAAGGGGGAGGGAACAAACTTGTAAACAGAAATGTAGTACAGTCATAATTTATCTTAGATTTGTTTCCTTGGAAAATTGCAGGTTGCCATCGTTTAGCTGATTTTCTAGCTGGAATAAAGTCCAACTTTAAAGGAGCTGCAAAAGTTCTAAAGGAGAATTGTGAAAATAATCTGCACAGTGAGAGCTGCTACAAACTTGGAAATTACTATTTGACTGGAAAAGGTGATAAAATATTTCCTTTTCTGTTCCTGAGTTTATCTCTAAAAGAAAAGACAATTCAAATAAAGCTGTTGAGGAAATATGTTGTATGTTATCAGGCATTTATGTCTATTCACCCAATTGTATTTTGTAAATTATGGTTGATGGCTTACAATGTTGTATGAACTAACCAACTATAATGTTATTCAATAACTGGTGCTTTTTCCTTACAGGCGGGCTTCCAAGAGATGTGAAAACTGCTTACCAATGTTTTTTGAAATCTTGTGAAAAAGGAGGAACAAAATCCATCAATGCTTGTCACAGTGCTGGATTACTTCTACAAGATGGACCAGTAAATGAGAATGAGAAGCCTAATGTCCCTTTAGCCAGGGACTATTATAGTAAAGCTTGTGACAGTAATTTTGCCCCCAGCTGTTTCAACCTAAGTACTATATATCTTCAAGGAGCTCCTGGGATATCAAAGGATATGAGTCAAGCATTACAGTATTCTCTAAAAGCATGTGATTTAGGACACATGTGGGCATGTGCCAATGCTAGCCGAATGTACAAACTGGGGGATGGAGTTGAGAAGAATGATGCCAAGGCCGAAACCTTAAAGAACAAAGCAGAAACCTTATACAAAGAACAGAATACATCTGTAAATACTTTAACATTTGGATAGTAAACATAAACAAATAATCTAGTTTGAAGAAGTGTACTTTGTTAAATAGGGCAGGTATTTAATCTCTAGATTTATTCTCTTGAATGCTCAAAATTTGTAAGTGAAAGTTTGTATAATTTATTACATAATGCAATAAAATAATTGGATTTTATGTTACTTTTTATTCTTTCCAACCCAGTGAAATGTTGGAAATAATTTTTTAAAGCTCTAGGGTCTCTGCCAATTATGAAGACAGAATAGAATCGAAGATTTCCAAAAGCCATTCTCACCACACTTTTTACTTAGTTGTTGTAAAGGAAATGGGAATGTGAATGTCATATTTAAAGTAATATGGTGAACTAGTTCTTAAATGCATTTTGAAATTACATATAGAGAACTACCCATTCAGGTCTTAGTTGTGGTGCAGAAATGTATGCAAGGCAATAAAACCTATTCCTGTCAAGCAGCAGTTCTGTTCTGGAGCAAAGCCCTTTATTCAATTTCAGTACCAAAACACTTTTTAGACTATATCTTGGAATCTGACAAGTCATGAGTAGTCCTTGGTTCCCCTATGTGTGCTTGTATGCCCATTTTTGAAAAATAGCATGGAACAGAAATCTTAATTGCGTCTGGATCACTGAATAGGAGAGAAGTAGTTAAAATCCTCTTGAAATCCTTAAATCCTCCTAATGATCCTTGTAGAAGAAAATGTGTGATATGCAAGCTTGACTATTATAACATATTCTACATAGGACTGCCCTTGAAGACTACCCAGAAGTTTTAATTGGTCCAGAATGTGGTAGCACAGGTAGTAATGGACATGATTAAGTATTATATAGCTCCTCCTATGTGAGCTGCACTGGCTGTCAGCTTGGTTCTTGTTGTGATCAAGTATTGGCCATTACTTATAAATCCGTACATGGCATATTGAGGTTATCTCCTGTACCATCTGCCCAACTAATTCAATCCAGCAGGGTTGGCATCTTCATATTCTTTTGATTAAACAATGCCATCTAAAGGAAGGAAGGAAGTTTAGAAAAAGAGAGGATGGAATTCCAGGCACACTTGCAAAGCTTAGCATTGCACTGAAAAAGTTACCTGTCAATAGACCATTAGAACTTTAAAAATATTGTTAAATTAGTTTCTAATCATTTTTTTCAGGCAAATGTCTCCCAAATTCACATGAATTTAAAAAAAAAAGCCTTGTCCACACAAGACAGCAAGGAGATGGATACTGGAAATATTTTATAGTAGAGCACAATCGGCATTATAAGCTAGAAGAAAATGGTGTGTTAGACATGCATGGAGAAAATTTATGTGGGTGCTAGGAGTTAAAAACAATTTGATGGACCACAATAATCTGACAATTATATTTGGCTGGAGCTTCACTGACTTTTTGTTGTTATTGATTGCTCTTGTAGAATGGCTCTGCAGCTGGTAAGTCTGTTGCAGTAATTTTAGCATCAGAAGCACTGATGTGAATATTTTTTGAGTTACGCTGAATTATACCGTAGTACTTCTTTTGCAAGAAAATAAGCATATTTTTCTCCATTAAGTATGCTGTGAAAAGCATCTCCAGTAGCAAATAGTACTATATGTCTCCTATATAGAATGTTCAAAATTCATCAACTTGGTAACCAACCCCTGGAGAGAAATCAGGCATGTTGAGTTTCCTTTTAGACTATGCTTATCCTCCTCTAGATCAGTGGTTCTCAACCTGTGGGTCGGGACCCCATTTGGGGTCGATCAACCATTTCATGGGGGTCTCCAAGCAAGGCTGTCCGCCATTTTTTTTGTCCGCCATTTTTTCCCCTTTTCCAGCGGGTGCCTTACCTCCCTTGGGCTGGGCCAGCTGGTGGTCGGCCTGCTCTGTCTCTGCCGCTTGCCAGCTATGCCTCGGCCGGCGCAGGGGGCGGAACCACGCATGCGTGGCGCTCCTGGGCAGGGAAAGTCCTCGACTTACGACCGGCTGGGTAGTCCTCGACTTACGACCGGTTTAGTCCTCGACTTACGACCGGTTGGGGTCGCGGCATTAAAAAGGTTGAGAACCACTGCTCTAGATTAAGTCATCCTAGGGCAGTGATGGCGAACCTTTTAGAGACCGAGTGCCCAAACTGCAACCCAAAACCCACTTATGCATTGTCGGGTGCTGGCCCATTGGCTGGGTGTGGCCTATTGGGTGGGCATGTCTGCGGTGGTAACAGCAGACTGGGTGGGACTAAAAAGTTCAATCAATCAATTCCAACTTTGCAAGATCTTTTTTTTTCCTGCGAGAAGTTGAAATTGACTGATTGATTGAACCTTTTTTTTTTGCACACGGCGGCAGAGACCTAAAGCGAAAACGTTTTATAAAACCCAGATGAAGGCCTAGGACTGAGGTCGCCTTAAAATCCTTTCAGTTCAGAGTATTTTTTTTTAAATATAACCGAAGAAACTAAGCTGTTGAGATTTGCAGTTAATAACTTTTTTTTAAAGAGCAGCCTTAGCTAAAGAGAACATGGCTGTACATAGCAACTGCCAAAGTACAGATGCTAATAAAAATGCTTTTAGAATTCAAGAGCAGTTCATATAATAGCGGGTTACACTCAAGCATGCTCTAATATGAAGAAATGGGATCTAGGTTTTCCCATCACGAAAATAGGATTCTGTCTCTGAATATTTATTGAATAAAGTCAGAGTTCAGCTTACATATAAAAGTCTTCAGAAAACAATCTGATATATTTCTCAGTTATCTTACTTCTTATTTTTGAAAGTTAGCTTATTTATTTATTTATTTATTTATTTATTGCATTTATATCCCGCCCTTCTCCTTACGGACTCAGGGCGGCTGACAATTGAATAAAATACTAACATATATACATATACTTAATTAAAATTTGATTAAAACGAAATATTTAAATATGTCCAATTTAAAAGTAATTAAAACCCCCTTTAAAATCCCTCAGGCCAGTCCCGCT